TGTTAATGTTTTCTATATACAAGATTGCAGAAGGTTGAGAGCCACTGATTTAGACCAAGTCTGTTCAGTTGAGAAAGGGTTAGCCAGAGGAATGAGGATATTGAACTTGGGTCAGGAGACCTGGGTTTGAGACTTGGTCTGTCTCAAACCTAGCCATTTGTGTAAGTGAGAATAATGACTAAGATACTGTGACAAAAAGTCCCCAAAGATTATGGCTTAAAGAATAGAGAGGTTTATTTTTATCTTAAATCACAGTCTCAGAGCAAGCAGTCCAGGCTGTCAGAGAAGCTCTTTTTGTCACAATCATTCAAGCACCCAGATTCCTTCTTTCTTACTGTGCAGTCATCCCGTTGGGTGTTGCCTTTGTGGTTGAGGCTCGTGCCCAGGCACTTCTGTGTCCATGCCCTGGCACTCAGGAAGTAAGAGAGAGAAGAGAGTGCATGGATGAGTCCAAGCCCTTTGTTTTAAAGCCAAGCTGAAAGTGGAGCACATCACTTCTGTTTACATCCTGTTGGCCAGAACTCAACCACAAGGCCATACTGAGTAGCAAGGCAGATTGGAAAATGTACTCTCTGCCTGGGCAGCCTGGAGTCCAGCTGCACCTCTCCTGTGTTGGTGGACAGCCTGCCGTTGCTACCACACCATACGAGCCTGGCAACTCCATCCTGCAACAGTTCTGGTCTCAGTTTCCCTGTTAGTGAACTGACCGAAATTCCCCATCTTGCCGGCCTTTCTGTAGATATTGACGAGTGTGGCACAGAGCGAGCCAACTGTGGAGCCGACCAATTCTGCGTGAACACGGAGGGCTCCTATGAGTGCCGAGGTGAGTGACCACTCCTGCAGGGGAGGGGCTGTGGGAAGGGGAGGAGGAGCTGCTCCACGCCTGTTCCCCCCATACTTCTGCCTTCTCTGGCACCAGAACCCCTTGGATTTAGGGGCAGCTCTTAACCTTCTCTCTCCTCTCTCTTCTCCAGACTGTGCCAAGGCCTGCCTGGGCTGCATGGGGGCAGGGCCAGGCCGCTGTAAGAAGTGTAGCCCTGGCTACCAGCAGGTGGGCTCCAAGTGTCTCGGTGAGTCTCCAGCCAGGGGGGCCCAGGTACCTTGGGGTGCCTTGCCCCCATGAATTGAGAGGGGCTGGAATGTGAACAGGGTAGGGGGAGGGTGAATGTTACCTGAGTAAGGGCAGAAGGGAGTGCCGGAATGTGAACGAGGCAGGGTCGGGGTGCTGCCTGTGGGACCCCGGAAGTCGGCTCTGACCCCTCCTTGCCTTCCCTCAAGATGTGGACGAGTGTGAGACAGAGGTGTGTCCCGGAGAGAACGAGCAATGTGAGAACACCGAGGGCAGTTACCGTTGTGTCTGTGCCGAGGGCTACAAACAGATTGAGGGCATCTGTGTGAAGGAGCAGATCCCAGGTGAGTCCCAACCTGGCCCCCACCAAACCCGTTCTCCAAGCACTTACAACCCCTCAGCCCTGCGAGGCTGCATTGAGACCTGAAGCCTACATCTTCTCTTGAGGAGCTTTTGGTGGCCTCACACCTCCCTGGGGTAGAAAGAAAATAGGACTTGGCATCAAATTACTCTGCCTCCCCTAGCCTCTCTCCTCACCTGTCCAATGGGACCAGTCCTAGCCCTGGCCCTCTGAGAGCTATTGTAGGCCATGGTGTGGTGAGATGGACAGCCACAATGATACAGTAATGATCACTTCCACCACTCTTGCCATATGTCAGACACTGTTCCAAGCATGTTGCATGTATTAACTTACTTTACCACTAAAACAAATCCAACGCTGTAGGTATCTTTCTCATCCCCATAGTGGAGACTAGGATGCAGAGAAATGAAGCAACTTGCCCAGGGCCACACAGCAAGCAGGTCGCAGAGCTGGGTGTTGAATCCTGGCAGTCTGGCTCTGGAGCTGGGCTAGTACACATAGCACGTGCTCTGCCACAACTCGCTCACCACGTGGCCTTGGGCAAACCTCTACCTCTCTGGGCCTCAGTTTCCCGTTCAGTGAGACAGGGATAATAACTGCCCCTCTAGAGTCGTTCTCAGCAGTAAATGACATCACCTGCTGGCACGCCTAGCAGGCAGGTGGCAGCGATGACTGGGTGCGTGGGAGACTCTAAGAATGGGGGAGGAGTGACAGGTGCTTCTTATTTCTCGCAGAGTCAGCGGGCTTCTTCTCAGAGATGACGGAGGATGAGCTGGTGGTGCTGCAGCAGATGTTCTTCGGTGTCATCATCTGTGCACTGGCCACGCTGGCTGCCAAGGGTGATTTGGTCTTTACCGCCATCTTCATTGGGGCTGTGGCGGCCATGACTGGCTACTGGTTGTCAGAGCGCAGTGACCGGGTGCTGGAAGGCTTCATCAAGGGCAGATAATCTCTGCCATACCTGCAGGATCTCCTCCCACCAGGCTGCCTCCAGGAGCCAGGCCTCTCTCCTGCCTGGACACTCAAGGCGGCTGGCTTTATTTTTGAGAGTAGGCTAAGTACCCCCTACCCGCCTACGGAGCAGCCTAGGCACCCAGACCTGGGCAGGTGAGGCCCCTCGGATGTGGAAGGAGCCCTAAAAATGGAAGCCATGGGATCTTGGACTTGAGGAGACTGGGCAGGCTTCATAATGTGTGTGGATTTTTAGTGTCTCCTTATGGTGGCTGCTAGTGAGCTTTGGCCCCTGTGCAGGATGAAGGGAGTGGGCTCCTGCAGGGGTGAGTCCATCATAGCCTCCTCCTGCCAGCTGCATGCTGCCAGCTCCTGTTCCATATTCACCTCCCCCATCCCTCACCCCTGACCCCTCAGCCACTGATTTATTTATTCATCTCAGGAAATAAAGAAAGGTCTTGGAAAATGGAGAAGCTTCAGTTTTACTGCCTGCCCTCCCACTCCCATGGTTGGCCTAAGCTACTGAGAGGCCCTGACCCTTGGGAAATTTTTCTAAAACCCTGGGAAATTGAGGGCTACCCTGGTGGAAGAGTAAAAGGAGAGGCTTGGCCCTAAAGTTGTGTTAGGAGAAGGGGATGGAGGACCCAGCGTCAGGGATGGAACTTTCTGGGTTCAGTATCAGCTGTTATTTGGGCCAAAGGACCCTGCACAAAATGACTTTTGTCTCTGAATCTTGCTCTTCTCATTAATAAAATGGGCTTGATAATGCTTTCCACTCAGGCTTATTATGAGAATTAAATAAGGTGGTGAATGAATTAAATAAGAGCTGAAGACAGTGTACAACAAATAGAGCTTCAATAAAATATCGATAGCCTTATTTCTAAAGCTGCTAAGGGTCCAGTGCCCTTTCCTTCAGAAGTCCCCCTGTCCCACATACTGGACATGGAATTACTGGAGGGTGGGGCCTTCTACTCTTCTCTGAACAGGATCCTGGCATGGCCAGAGGGAGGCATGAGCCAAGTCCTAAAGGTTTATTTCTTTGGCACAAAGAGGACATTCAATCTAGACAAGCGAGCCTCATCCTTCCACAATGGGGAGTCTGGAGGAGTGTTTGGGGCACCTGGACCCCATTCCCCATACCCAAATCCATGCATGTCCACCCTGTATTCCATATAAATCACAGCCTCTGTGCAAAATACCTGCTGGAAAAAAATAGAGATATTTTAAAAACAAAAAACGCAGATGGGGGTTGGGGACACTCCTGGCTGCTTCCAGGGGCTGCAATCAGGTTCAGGCCCCAGGATGCCAGTTTTTTAAGGGCTCAACTGTCCCAGTCGGCCATGCCACATGGTCACTGAAGGCTGGTCCTGCAACAGTGTGGAGTTGGCTCAGAGTTCAATGGTGTCACTGGAGGCGCTGCGAGAGTCCCCTGGCTTGCAGGAAGGCTGGGCCTCACTCCGGGGTTCTGTGGGCCGGCTGGGAGCAGTTGCAGTGGCTGGGGCTGGCAGTAGTTGCACCGTGCTGGGCAGCTCATCTAGGGGCAGACTGTCCACCGACGACAGCCCGTGGCGCCACGGGTTCCAGCTGATCTTGAGCGAGCCCCGGGAGAAGCTGTCTATGGAGCTGCCAGAAGCCACCTGATCCGGCTCATCCACTACGTGTGGTGGGACCGGCCCGCGGACGCGCACGTCGCTGAGCGACCGGCAGCGGCCACGGAGCAAGGAGCCCGCACCGTCGAGCTCAGTGTCCGGATGGCTGCCCCGGCGCGGCCGCAGCGCGCCCCCAGGCGGCGGGGAGGCCAGACCGCGCAGGCC